AACCTCATTCTCACGTCCCAGTCAGCAGCACGCGCCATCTGCACTATCTACGGATGAGACTCCGGTCTCACGTCCAGATCAGCAGACCACGCCGCACTTGACTGCGGATGAGAATGCAGGATCACGAGGTACGCACGAGGCTACTGTCTCGCGTTCCGGTCGCCGCGTACGCCTACCTGTACGCTTTCTCGAATAACTATCAATCCTTCACAGGGGCAGCATAGGATTTTACCATCATACTACACGCATGCTACACTCTTTCTCCTTTTTCTTTGATTTTTTTTTATCCCGAGCCTATTCCTCCGACCATTGTCCTGTTGGTACCGTCGACTTCAGTCAACCTTGGCGAAAGCTGGCCTGATCACCCACGCTCTAGTCAATGCACTCAGTCGATTTTCTGGTGACGAATATATCTGGTATACGAATGGTTTCGCACTGGTCGTTTCTGGCTCTTTCGCTCGATCTGGTTCCGTCCTACGTCTGCAGCTTTATTTGGTCCGAACCCCTACGAACGCAATTATCAGACACTGGATACGAGCCACGCTGGTGTGGTATGCTAACCCGGTGGACGAACTTGGCGCATAATTATTGGCACGGCAGCGGACAAACTCCCGGTGACAACTCGAGCTTCATCAGTCGCTTCCTGTCGTCAACCATTCTGCCCGTTAACCGAATATTGGCCGACGAGTCCTCTGAACGAAGCCGCTACATATCGAAAGTGTAAAACCCTTTCTAATGGGGGGCTCCTGTAGTGGAACTATTTCGTCGAAATAATACGACTACTGACGTACAAATACTTATTATTTAACATATGTAACATTAACTGTTTTATTGTATATCATTTGTTTATATATACTAAAAGTCACCTTTCGAGCGCCACCCACGCCATCCCTGCGGATCTAACGATCGTCTCGTTTAATCATCGATTGTACAAGCTGAACACGTGATATTATTCTAACATCACTCGATTTTCTATTAATAAATGTTGATATCCTATATACAATCTTCTGTTCTGGATTTCGTTTGGACGTGTAACCTTCACGCTTCAACAAGATCACCTACAATAAACTGGTTAATTTCATATCTAAATAATTGAAATCTCAAGTTCAGGGTCAATTTTATATTCCATTGGCTTTTAGTGGTGAGAGATACCAGATTGACCATGATCACCACTAAATGTTTCATACCATCCCGTCATATCTATCGAAATAAATCCATGTACCAATATTTTATTGAAGGAGGGAGTAGGTATTACATGACGACGTTAAAGATCAATTCTACGAAAGGCTGCAGTCAATCGTCGAGAAATGTTCACCAAAGGATTTGACCTGAATGCCAAGGTTGGAATGGACAACACTGGATATGAAGACATGGACGACATGGACTGGGAGAAAGAAACGAAAATGGTGAGAGATTGGCAAACCTATGTGCCTTCAACAAACTGGTCATCGGTGGCACAATATTCCCGCACAAACGCATTCACAAAGCCACATGGATTTCACCGGACCACACTACTCAAAACCAAGTCGACCATATCTGTATCAATAAAAAGTTCAGAAGGACCATGGAGGATATGAGAACGAAGAGAGGAGCTGACATGGCCTCAGATCACCACTTGCTGATTGCCGAAATGAAACTGAAACTAAAGAAGCACTGGACAACGGGACAGACAACATCACAGAAGTTTAATACGGCCTTCCTTCGGGATACCGTAAAACTCAACGAATTCAAGATAGCCCTCACCAATAGGTTCCAGGCCTTCCACGATATACTCAATGGAGAGGACGAATCATTGGAGAACAATTAGAAAGGGATTAAGGAGGCAATCACTTCAACATGTCAGGAGGTCCTTGGTCGCAAGAAGCACCATCACAAGGAATGGATCTCTGTTGGTACTCTTGAAAAAATTCAAGAAAGGAGGAACAAGAAGGCAGCTATCAATGTCTGCCGAACAAGAACAGAGAAAGTTAAGGCACAAGCTGCATACACAGAAGCAAACAGGGAAGTGAAGAAGAGCATCAGAGCCGACAAAAGAGAATATACGGAAGATCTAGCAATGACGGCGGAAAAGGCTGCAAGAGAAGGAAACATGAGACAATTGTACGAAACAACAAAGAAGCTGGCCGGAGACAATCGTAAACCAGAACGACCAGTGAAAAGCAAGGAAGGTAAAGTAATCAGCAACACTGACGAACAGCGAAATAGGTGGGTAGAGCACTTTAAGAAACTCTTGAATCGACCAGTTCCACTGAACACATCCGACATCAAAGCAGCATCCACGGACCTCGCAATCGATGTTAGCGCACCTAAGATTGAGGAGATCAGTATGGCCATCAGACAAATCAAGAGCGGCAAAGAAGCAGGACAAGACTGTAAATGGATTTATACGGTGGCAGTTCCAATGGGTTCCAATAAGTGCAGTCCTGAACTCGTTTCTCTCAGTCCAAGGTCCAGAAAAAGCAAAAATTCTAGGAGAAAACGGTCTTTATTAATAAAAAGATGGAAATACAAAGCGGTACCTGGAATTAATGCACCTTCCAGGTTGCAATTACTCCGAAGAGTATCCGAAACAGAGATAAATAAGTGACGTTAAGTCCAACAGCTACCGTATCAATCCAAATATGGCTGTAGCCATATTAAAGATCAAATTTAAACAACATTTTTACAGATCAGAAGCAACCACAAAAACTTCAATATAAGTACAAAATATAGAAATAATAACAATGTACAATGATAAAATCTCAAATTGGAATCAAATAAAATATCAAAAATGTCAACAGAAAAAGTCCGTCATGTCATGACAAAAATATGTAAACATGGAGGGATTTTCCAAAAAACAAAACATTCAAAAAGGATTCTACATAGACAACATTCCAGTAGAGGCAACGAAAGCGGGCTCAGAAGCAACTGCGAAAATATTCCACATCCTCTTCAAGACTGACTGGATTATGAAGACGTCAACATCTGGAGGGAAGCACAGTGTTCAATGGACAGCTAGGACACAGATAAACGACCTGGACTTCGCAGATGACCTGGCTCTTCTATCGCACACGCAACAACAAATGCAAGAGAAGACGACCAGTGTAGCAGCAGCCTCTGCAGCACCAGGTCTCAACATACATAAACGAAAAAGCGAAATTCTCCGATGCAACACAACATGCACAAACCAAATCAATCTGGATGGAGATGCCTTGGAGGACGTTAACACCTTTACATATCTGGGCAGCATCATCGACAACCAAGGTGGATCCGATGCAGATATGAGGGTGCGGATCGGAAAAGCAAGGGCTGCATTTCTACAGTTGAAAAATATCTGGAACTCCAAACAACTTTCAACCAAAACCAAAATCAGGATTTTCAATACAAATGTCAAGACAATTCTACTATATGGAGCGGAAACTTGGCGAACTACGAAAGGCATCATCCAGAAGATACAAGTGTTTATGAACAGTTGCCTACTCAAAATACTTCGTATTCGTTGGCCAGATACCATCAGCAACACTGAACTGTGGGAGAGGACAAACCAGATAGCAGTGGAGGAGGAAATCAGGAAGAAGCGGTGGAAGTGGATAGGACACACATTGCGGAAAGCACCTAACTGCGTCACGAGACAAGCCCTCATATGGAACCCTCAAGGCAAAAGGAAAAGAGGAAGGCCAAGGAACACATTACGCCGAGAAATAGAGAAAGATATGAGAGGAATGAATAAACGTTGGACAGAACTGGAGAGGGAAGCCCAGGACAGAGTTTGTTGGAGGAAACTGGTGAGCGGCCTATGTTCTATTGGGGGTAACAGGCGTAAGTCAGTAAGTCAATTTTGAAGGTTGCAGCCAGGATGACAAACTGGTCCTTCAGGATGATGTGAATCAATTTCGAAACTGAGCAAATAATGACGATCATATTTTCAACACTCCGAAATGCAAAGCCGTCCACCAAATACATGCTATGGACTATGCAGACCACTTAGATAAGTCTCCTTCAACTTCAAAACGACCTAGGATTCTTGGTTACTTGTGGGCTAAAATCTTACATTCATTCTGAAAGAATGTCTTTCAAGGGAACCTTGCACTGTTGGCTTTGAAGTGCATTTTTGGCTGTTTGGTAATGTTCGTTCCACTTACTCCTTTAGATCTTTACTCCACTCCATTTACAGTAAGGAAATACAATGTTTCCTTATGAACAGCCCCTTAATTCAGTATAGACGTTTCGGAGGTAACCAGGTGACCTAAATTCATAACGTTCAGAACGGACCTTTTATCAGTAATCGAATTTTAATTTTAGTACTAGATGAGGTTGTCCAAGCAACTTCCTTGAAGGATAAACCAGACATTTTCTTAAGGACTCAGTACAGTTTTTCACTATAGTTTACCGAAATTTATATTTTACTGGTTGAAAATACGTAGGTTCCTAACCAAAAACGTCAGTGATGCACTGTTTCCTAGAGGCGGAGTCTCGTTAAGCCAAAGCTACTATTTTGTTCACAACTGTTTTACGAATCAATCATTCACACTATTGTTGTATATTGTACCTTCCGATTTCAAAGAAATATATGTAATTAAGAAAAGCCTTCAGGTACTAAATAGCTTCTCTTTAGAAACGGCTGAGATTACAAGTCCCTCCGAAGACTGTTTATGAAAGTTTTGAAAGTGTGATTTGCAACGCATTTAAAACTTTACGCTACCAACTTCTAGTTTAGATTATCGGTTTGTCTTAATCTCACGCTTGTGTGGTTTCTGATTGTCGACTGCATTCGTTATTAATACAGCGCATTATTTGTGCTTGCCGAGTTATCGGCTCACTTTGTCTTTTCTTGTTTCATTTTCCAGATAAACTCAGTAATTTTTATACTCTCCCATCGCAAAAGGTACTTGGACGCAAACTTACCAAATTCTAGAGCGACATGTCACTATAAAATTTGATAATAAATTTATCAGATACTCCATCATGGGACTTGAGAATGATATACAAGCTGCAAACTCTCACAGAATAACTTGTGCAAAATGAGTGCATGCTTATTTTCTCAGCACTTTTGGGGAGAAAAACATTCCGGGTTTGATGCTATGTATCAGAATTTCAAGTTGTGTTATCGCACTTCTTCTGAGTTTGCAGAATTTCTCCGTGAAAGCTATACGGCAGAAGACAATTATTATAAAACATTAGTTAAGTTGTCGAAACAAGCAGGATCGTACAACAATACTAGTAGTTTCAAGCCATGTTGGTCTCTCCTCAAGCAATTAATTGACCAAATCTCCCAGGTTCAATTAGCTATTGCTCAAGAACGACAAAACCTATCAAGAGATGTACAGAAATATCTGGAGGAGCAACACAAACGGCAAAAGCTGATCAAGGATACAGAAGCTTCCACACAAGAAGTAGTGCATGCTTTCCAGGTAGTCATTTCTAATGTACGTATATCTAATTACTAATTTAAAACAGCCGTGCGAATATAAGTTACATAGTTGCTATGAATATTGTGCTTTCAGTATACTGTTAGCAATCACCTCATGACTTCTTACGTACAGTTAGTTTGTTGTAACCCATTGAAAAACTTCGTATGCTCCCTTCCCACAGAACACTAACTGAGTAGCCTATACTCCATACTGCTAAAATCAGATTTAGTAACAATGTTAGACACGACAATGTTGTTCTTCCTTATTTTCTTTTCTGTGGTTTAGTCTCATATCATTAATTTCGTTTGTCTCCCCTTCAAATTTTAGGCCCATAAACTTCCTTGGAAAGTTTTTCATTCTTTTTGCTTGTATTTAAAACAATCTAGTTGCTTAAAATGTCAGCTTCCTATCCAAACATTTCTAGAATCTTGTGATTTAACAAGGAGACCCGAAAGCATTCTTAAAAAGCGAGTTCAAGATAAGCTAATGTCAACAAAAAGTGGACGAAAACAATTTGCTTCAAATTACTTACCTAGAGAACACCGCTCGCCGCTATACATCAGCATCCTGTAATTTCTGGTAGTTCGTAGATATGATAGGAAACGCGATGGCTAATTTTCTACATATGTGAATAGATGGTCAAGATGATTTCTTTTACTACTATCATGCATTTATAACTCGATGTAACTCACTTTACTAGATAAACACCAAAAATTTGAATTCCTTTTTTATAATTTACGTCTATTTAGATCATAAGAATAATGCATTAATATATCATGAATAGTCAGTTTACAGTACTTAAATGAAGCTACTTTCATTCACTTGTAATCTTTCTACCTAGGTCACTTCTGTACAACTTCAGAAAGCAAAGGAAGCATATCATTCGCGTTATAATGAATATGAACGTGCTATGCGTCTGGAGTCTGGTTCTAATCGAGATCAAGAAAAGCTGGAAGTCAAGCTTAAGAAAGCTCAGGACGAGTATAAATATTCAGTTGAAAAGTATAATAACCTACGCAATCAGTTTGTGAGCAAAATGCACATCTCTTGTGCTCAATTTGAGGTAATGTACACATTCAGTACACTGTACAATTTAGTGTTACTTAGTCAGTTTTCGAAAATAGACCCTGGTTTTTTTTAATTGTCCGAATATTTCAGATGTTTTTGTTAACTATGATAATCAGTCTATTGCAGTGAATGCACTATTTGATTTCAGTCCTATACTTTATACCACTGGGCAACCACAATGTCGTACGTCATCGAACGTAGTTCTTTCAAGTTTCACAGCATCAAGTTCCTGAAAAAAATACGTCCATTTACTCCTAAGCATGATATGTTGTCTTTTTGGTTTTGGTAGTTTTGAGGACACTAAAATATGAGTATATTTAACCAAAAGCTCAATTAACAAGAGATGTTCCTGTAGGTTCTACCATATCGGGCAGGTCGATTGGAGAACAGTGAAACTAAAAGCAGCTACTCAAGTCTTGAGGGCGAAGTCTTACTGCTGACTGTAGAGGGGTGGGACAGCAGGAAGGTGTTTCTCTCGGACAACCAGCATTTGCAGCGATGCTGCCTTCTCAAAAGGAAGGAAGGGGTTAGAAAAGGTCGACCCTAAAACTCCTAAATGCCCTAATAATGCTGTCTAAACCGCAACGAATTTTTCGTTTATGAAAAAAGTGCCCCCATTATTTTAATTTTACCTTTAAATCAGGTAGCTGTGATGTACTCTCTTTATAACAGCTAAGTAATAGTGATAATTTAGGCTATGGTAAGAAGTAGCAAATTAACTGACATTCTCAGTTTTAAATTTTGAAATAGCTTTTTCTTTTGTGTTTACTATTCAGTCTGTTTATTTATTAACCTATAATTCCAATAACTCAACCCCATGGCAATTCTTGTTTTTTACCTTTTAAAAGGAAATCGAAGTTGCACATCTGGAACAAATGAGAGAATTTCTGCATCGATACGCTTCTGTTTGGTCATACACTGGTGATACTTTAAGCAAATTGCATAATCAGTTTGATCATGATTTAACTGAATTAACGACTGACAGGTTGCTGAATATTCTTGTGACTGAAAGAGGCACTGGGACTTCGGAACCACAAGGTGTGCAGTTTGAAGATGCCGAGGTTGCTGCTGTATTTTCATCAAATGCAAATGAACGTGCTAACGCATCAACAACCAACAGTGTTCGTGTTTTAGATACCTTGTTTGCTCGCGAAACCAGAGCTGCCTCTGCACTTGCAAGTAGGTTAAAACGAAGTTTATTTTTGAAAATCAAAGTATTCTACTCGGAACTCAGATGAAAATTAATTTGTATATTTACTAGACAACGACTCTTATTTGTTTATTTTGAAACTGGATATTTGCGATAAATTATAACAAATCTTTGTTGTAAATTTTTATGCTTTTGATTTAAAAACTTTTAGAATATTAATTTCTAGAAGTAGAACTTAACGCTATTGAAGCCCACCCTTAACACATCCCATAATTAAAAAAAGTGATAAATAGAAGCATCTCGGATACTCTCGCTGCAAGCAAACTGTACTTGTAAAAAATCTGTATAAAACAGTAAAATGTCTAGGATGAAAATGAAAATAAAAACTAAGTAGTCAGGAGTTACTATTTAAATTCCAGTTACTCAGTGTGATGCACCCATTCAAATAATCTTAATTTTATTGCTATAAGCAGTTCGTTTGTATCGATAAGCCTGAGTAGTTGTGACTAAATAGACTGTATTACTCTTATTCTTATTAATTGTTTAATTTTCATCGTATTTCACTAGTTTGGAGGTTATTACTCATTTTTAAATCTGAACTTCGTGAATAGGTCGTTAGGTCAGCATAGGAGTAATTTTAGTTAGTGCTTATCGTGTGTGTTCTCGACTAATTACGACTTTTTGTTTGGTAATGTTTATAATACTTTCACAAATATATGGTTTGTGCTATCTTAAATTCATTTTGTTTACTTAGTTGTGGGTTCCGGTACCAAAGATAATGGGGAATCAAGTCTCAACAGCCTAACAGATGTCAGATCAGATGCAGTCTCTGTAGCTAGCATTTCCGTAGGTGTTGTGCCGTCGGTAACAAATATCTCTGTTTCTGGCAATGGAACTACAAAACGTCGGGAAGGATTTTTTCGTCGACGTCGTAATTCCCTATCACAAGACTCTACTCCTGCTGTCAGTGACTGTAATGCAACAGGATCTTCTGCCTCGGTTAGTGCGGCCATCGGGACAAGCGCTAACATCCAGACTAGCGCTAGTAGTAGCCTCAGCGCTTTCACCGTTGTCGCAAGACGTGGGATTCGTCGATTAGGGACTCCGTATTCAAATGGTAAAGACAAACCAATAAAGCAAATGGACAAGTCAGGTAGATGTGGTTGACAATGAATAATTTATCAGTTTTTATTTATTTTTAGGAAAGCCTCATAGTTAAATAAATATTTTGTTTGTTAAGTAGGGTCTCCAAATCGAGGTTCTAACCTCGGACCTAGTGGCTGAGTCAGTCAGTCAGTTACAACGTAAAACTTCGTACGTAAGTACATCAGTTCATGTTGCCATACCACATTAGCACAGAGACGTAGTTGTCAATTCAAATCCCATAGTGGTAGAGATAGTAGAAGTATTAGCAGTAATGGAGAAGATTAGGATTTGAAGATATTATTCAAGAAGTATAATTCAGTGAGATAAGTTTAGAAAGACAAAGGTAGAGGTGTTGACGAATCCAGAAGATTAGGATTTGAGAGAACACAAAGAGTGGATGCACCTGCGCCATCGCAAACGATTTTGAGCCATTTTATTCAAGGTCTCTAACCATCGGTGACTTTCGCCTCGTTGACCCCAACCAGGTAGTCGACAATTACCGACATGGCTAAGTCCACTCGTCAATGACTTCATGGATTTCTGCCAGGTTTTGGTCTGGCCGCCCCTAACTTTCTTCTAACCTACTCCTACACTACAAAACAGCTCTTCGAGGCAGTCGGTGGTTAGGCATACGTAACACATGTCCCAACCACCTCAACTGATGAAGTTTCACTACTTCGTCTATTGATCTGCCATCATTACCTAGTACTCGCTTCCTAATTGCAGCATTGCTTACTCGGTTGTCCTAGGATACACAAGCAATGCTTTGAAGACATCTATGATTGAATACTAGTAACCTACGACCATCTTCAACTCTTACCGACCGTGTTTCGCATCCATATAGGAGAACGGAGCGATCTGCTGCACAGTATACTCGACCTTTCGTTAGAAAACGGATATCTCGCTTACGATATAAATGACGAAGGTTGGCAGAAGCAAATCGAGTTTTCTGTATCCGTGCAGAGATTTCGGCAGTCACCAGGGCCTAGCCAATTGTTATAACAAAATAAATATTGGGATGCGCCATTTTCCGGATTATTAGTATTTTATTTTTATGATTAGTAGGTGACTGTATTGTTACATTTTTATATCTAACTTATTGTAAGCTATTTCTTATTTGTTACTAGTAAATGGTGTAGTTTGTACCGCTCTCTATTATGATTGTGCGTAAAGTGAAAATTGTCATTTGACGTTCTGTGTGGTCAGTCATCATCAGCCAATTCACTCTTTTTAGTTGTTTTTGACTAAAGTGAATGCTACTTGTCAATATATACGGGACAAAAGGAGAATGTAACAAGTTTCAGATATTAGCACTCAGTAATCACTTACGTGTATATGTAGTGAAATGTTAGCTAGTATATAATTAATTTCAAATCTGCCAGTACATGATATTCTGTTCTCAGTTAGATGATTTATCTATATTCTATATTAAATATGCCTACTCTTTGATTAGCTCTTTGTTTTGACATTAGAAAAAGATGATATTTCCTAACTGTTGTAGATATTGGCAAAGGTCCTGATAATTGGTTTGATAAATTGGGTCAACTCCAATAACAATGTTTCTGATTGTTTGTGACTAGAATCTAAAAAGGGATGAATCTAAGTCAGCAACGTGGAAAGTATCTCCATTTTCCTTCACTTTAATATTTGCGATTTGTCGCTATATTCTTCGAATGATTTCTTCAATGTCAGTAACTTACTTTTATAGATACAACTACTTCGAAAAGTGATGATTGGAGGACCAGTACACCCGTAGAATTGCCGAAAGATGAAGACGGTTATAACATCAGACCACCTGATCCATGGGGTGAAAACTCTGTAAATTTGAATCATTCTGAGTCTGATGACTCAGATTCTGAAGAAGACCTAGGAAAGGAAGCGAACAAAACATTCCATGGTTTGAAAGTAGGTACCTCGGTTCTTGTGTATACAAGGCATGTTCACAGTTTAAGTTTTTTTGTCTCTCTGTATTACCGGATTTTTCGACACTATATATCGATTTACTCTAAAGATCAGTGAAGTTAATTAGAATTTCAGATGAATATTTCGTATAAGTTGATTGACTTAGGGGTACTGCGAGTAGACTTCAGACTAAGCTGTTGTGTGGACTGAAGTTGTAGGACCGTAATCTTTTCCAGCCACAGCCGTTTTCCGGAAATTTAATATATTCATCTTTTGATCGACTGTATTCGATTCGATACAGTAATCAAGATTTGTACTCTTAGTTGAGAACCCCCTTAATAATGTGGTACTCATTCAATATTTCTGCCTGATTTTTCTTTGTCTGACTAATAATAATAGCTTATGACGGAGTTACTCGTTCAACCAACTTTTTATTGGATAGTTTTACATAGCATTTGTAGCTGTTAAATATTGGGTTTAGCAGCAAAACTTTGATTTAGTAAATCTATAAGTTGCAATACAATCAGTAAGGCAGACAACTCAACGTTATGATGCACTTTTTTCCGTTGTTAGTTGGTGATAAGTATTTTCCAGGAAGCTCTTGATCTAGGTTTCCTGCCAGTTATCATGCATTAACAGGGCACATCGGGTATTTCAATTTGATTGTTGCGCTTCTGTGGGATGTGAAATCGTGTTACTCATCACTACAGTCAGAGACACTACATTTAAGCCTCTTGAAGTGACTAATTTAAGTTAATTGGTTGTCATGTGATGAGACACTGTGACTAAAACTTCATCAGAAGTGAAGTTATCAGGTGCCTTGGTTACTTTTGATCACTGGAGTATATGAATCTTTCATAATCAGTGCGCCACTAGTTAAACCTTTGTAAATTTAGGTGCATAAACTAAAGATCATTTACCTACATAAATATCACTTCATCTTTAAGCACTAATATTTACGGAATGGGTCAGATTCACGTCTGCACCTATTTTTAATGAATTTCTAGAAAGTTCTGGAATTCATTACTGATGCTTATTGACTGAATGGTGTTCTAGAAGTTTAGTTTTACGGATGAACTTTACCATCTCCTGAGAACTATAGTTCTTAGAAATTTTATTAATAGAACTTATATTCACGATTTATATGTGTACTTAATCTCTTATCTAGGTTAATATCCGTCCAGTTGGAGACTTCGCTCCAGGGGTAGCGCTTAAATATAACGGGGATAAATTAGAATCTCGTTCAAAGCTTTCAGAGACAACAACAAGTCCCAGAACCACTTGTAATTCGCAAGTCCCCTTACTTATCGATCATCGTGTCGGATCGACACTTCGGTCACCACGTTCAAGTGTTTCTTCATATCAAAATATTTCTACTATTGCAGGATCGGATAGCGTATCAAATCATGACTTGATTAATGCACTACCTCTTCCACCACTATTACCACCCCCTCCTCCACCTCCATCAGTGTCATCGTCTATCGCTGAGACGTTTTCTCCTAATGGTGCTGGTGGCTCAATGCGTGCTCGAAATTTCGGTTTATCATCATTCAATAAACTCGGTAAAGGTCATTCAATATCAGCAGTGCGTCCACGTGGATACAGTTGTAATACATGGACTAAAAGTAATTGCGTTTTTGTTTTGAAATTAATTGATTGTTGATGATCCGTCTTCGATTCTTGTTGACGTTATTTTTTAATTCTCAATTCCACGATAGTATTATTGCTAGAATGATATAAAAAAAAGAGAAATATGAAACTTGGGTAGCCATTATTTCGCCTGTTTAACTATATATTTATGAGTATTCATCTAACAGTTGTTGTGTGTTATTTTCATGTAGTTCTAAGTACTTTATCGTTTTCACTCATTAACTGTTCCTTTATTTTTTTGACTCATAAATTACAATCAATTAATCACGAAAGTATGTTACTAGGTTTTCTTTCAAAAGTGATCTAGTTATGAGAACCGACTGAGATTTGTAAAACACGGTGCTTTGTTTGCTCTTGTATTTTACATATATCATCACATCAGTTATAACTACAAACAGTGGTGTTTTTGCTACACACATATATATAGAGTACTGCTCATCATATACAATCAACTATAACTGCATATATAAGCCTAAGCTTGTTTAACTGAAATATAATAAAGAAATACTACAGTAGATTAAGTACTGACTGGTTAGAAATGTCTTTTTACTTCCGAAAATCATTAACAATAGTATACATTTGATCCTCTACGGGACATAAACATTAATCCGTACAATATTGAGTGTGTTTGTCTCTCAAAACCACTATATTTTATCAATCATCTTCACTGTAAATTGTGGATAAAATAAATTTTGATAAGATTTTTGTACTTTTTTTTATCGACAACATTTTTCCATTCTAATATTGTAGTATAAACTACCTTTTCTATTTAGATCTAGACGATGAGATTTTGTTGATAGACTTATATATGTATAAAATCAATAGCATTTTGTGTTTCTAATATAAATAATATATGTGTATATTCCATCATCATAATCATTTATTATATTATTCAGGCAAATTATCCACTCTTCCACGAAGATATCGCAGTAAAGTTTATACAAATAAATGTATTTTTCACGGAACTTTTGTTGTTTCTCAAAATAGTAGGTGTAAATTTTATCACCGATTTGTCTATTTGAAATGATAAAACTTCACGTCATAGTAATAATCATGGTTGTTCATTGCACTATGATACTTACTGATCATCATCATTCTTATAACTTTTTTTCTATTCAAACGCAAGATTTCTTCACTACTTCAGGCACATTTCATAAAAATTATTTTCTTTGCTCATCTGCTGCTGGTATTTAGTGTCAGCTAATGTTTTCTATGACTGCAGATTTTGTATGTGCGTATGTTTGTATGTATATGTGTGTATGTATTTATACAATATGTATATATGTGCACAATAGTACGTGTATAATGTGCTCCCATTATCATGATGTAATACACGTTATATACTCATCCGGTATTTTTATCATTATAAGCCTATATATCATAAAATTGGTTTAATTTGGATTTAAAATTACATATTCTAATTACTATTACAATAGATGATTAAAATGTTTATTTATGAAATGTTTTCGTCTGTTCTTATTAGTTTCATCGGACGTATAGTTTCTGAATAGAACTCATATAATGTGCAAAAAATTGTATAGTAGCAATGTTATGTAATGCTTAATATTACCTATATCAGGTTAACGTTATAAAGTGTAATATGTACATATATATGTTTTCTATAGTATTTTACTGCTATTAAACAATCAAAAAGTCTTTAGAAGTTTTTACCCTATTTCCGTAAAATGAGTAAAGGGAATCGAGACAATAAAGTTGTATCTGCAACTGTGAAAAAATACAACCGACCTTTTACTTATTGCCCTTTGAATGTGTTCAAAATTTCTCGAAAATCGTGGAATAATCTTGTTAATATTGTGAATCAAAGGTTTTGAGCAGCATTTAAAGTATGCTGATGTTGAGATTGTTATTACAACGGACTTGACCGACCAATGACTGGAATACCCTATTGGACAAACAAATGTGTTCACAGAATCGAATTCCGGGAGAACAGATTGAAAACAAAAGAGTTACTGACCAACTTAATATTTATGTGTACATTAGAGAATTGAGGTTATGGTTTATTTAAAGAATAATCAAACAAAAATAACATGACCATCAGTCGTCTCTCAACTAACAAATACCTATTCAAGAATATGAACAAAGTTTGCAGTACATCTGGTGAAGTTTTGCCTATCTTACCATATAGGCTGATCAGATTTCGTTTGATGATAGTTTGAACCAAAAGCGTATAACTTCGTGTGTAGCATCAAAATGTATCAAATACAAATAATTTATTAATATTAGTGATTTATAATGGGTTTTCTTACTTCGAAAGTGAGCTTTCATTACGAATTGATATTAGGTAGGGAAAATCATTGAAAATCATGTTTCTGTCAGACATGTTCTTATTTTCTGAAACTAGAAGTTAAGTGAATGGTTACATTACATTTTTCTAAACGTTAAATGACGTGCTTGTAAGAGTTTGTACTTTCCTGTCTTTGATGTCAGAGATTCACGTTGGTATTCGAGTATCCGAACTATTTCGTTAACACTAGATTTAATAAATTTGAACCGTGGCTAGAAGCAGAATCAAAGATACTGGTCCTATCCTGGTTGGAACTTACTGTCTGAATGAAGTGAAAGCTTATAGGTTTGAGTGAACAAGTCCTGAATCCCACTGCCAGTCAACTTGTGCGAAAATATGTGATGATAATAAACCTCCTTACATCTCACTAAAGCCTTAACAAACAAAATAATATTTTCTAATGAAAATCTTAAATGTAATTAAAAACAATCTCTTTTATATTGAAGTTTACCTGTAGTTTATTTTAATTTTAGGAGGAAATTCAAACCAACTAAATTCTGTACAATCATCGGAAACGAAAGATGACAGTAACAATACAACTTTCAATTTATCATCTTTTGATACCCTATTTACAGTACAGGAAACTAACACTAAAGATATTAATTCAAATACTAATATAAATATTAGTAACGACTCCGTTCGAAAAGATTGTCTTTCAGATTTTGGATTTGGTTTTAAAGATTCTAGTAGTTGTAACAGTTTAGATGATAATTTGCAAAGAAGTCCATCATCTGTAATGAGCGTTAATTTCTCATCTGTAAATAATGACTGTGATAATGATGTAAACACTTTTCGACGATGTTCTAGTACAGTACCTATTTCAACAGATAATGAATTAACCGATCAAGCTCATTGGGTATGTGCACATTATTTGTTTAGAATATACACCTTATTGTTTATCAACTTATCATCAGCAAGCTGTTTCTAGCTGTATTCCTAATTACAAACTCATTAATATTTTTTATCCTCTGTCTACTAAATACGTTAACATTGATTCAACAATACTCAAGTTTTAGTTATAGTTAGGTGTAAAATTAAGGTTTCTTCATCAAGATCATCTGAAGCACACTTCAGTCAAGGACACGTGAATGGTTTATCAAATAGACATGAGTAGTTCCAGTGTTTTAGGCCAGTTGACCGATCATAAGTTCAAACGAGACTTGTCCACTAGTGTCTGAGCACTTTGATAGTTTTATATTATATAATATAATCTGTCTTCTAATCTAAATATCCATCCAATCAGATGACTGGATGGATCATCTGACCACCACCCAATCACCGATAAGTACATAATTTAGTGCTTCTAGCAAACTTTACTTAACCTCGTTAGAATGTGAAGAAATCGCTTTACATTGGTTTAACTAATTATACTTCAGGAATTCGTCTATCGGAATCCATCGTGTAACGTAAGTCTAACAGACATCTATTTAGTTCTAATCAACAATATTCAAAAATATGCTACATATTCAAATGGAAAACTGCATGGCATCCAACGTGTAATTCCCGTGTTTTGCCGAATTCGTTAGATGTATGAATCTGTAACGTAAAGCTATGCATATTTAAGATTAATAATGTACCTACTGCCACAATTTCGGTAAAAGAGCAGAATTTATCAAATAAAATTAGTAGAAATTCAAACTACTTTTGGATATATTCACTCGATGTTTGCCTGTAGTTTGGGGAATTTATCTGAAGGTGTGAACATTTAGCGTACGTTTGCATAAATATATGTTGGATTGGTCACTGTAAATATTTCTTCGATCACTTAGTCTAAATTCTATGTAAAAACGGTAAATGAACTGCTATTTATTTCGTTGTAAGTTATTTTGATGACTATATTATCTGAGGGTAAAAATTTTACTAAGAAGTGTACTGTAACAAATGTATTATGGTAAGTAAAGTTTGTAAACTCGGAATCCAAAGATAAACATTGATACTTCTATAATTCACACCTGAATTTTACGATTGTAGATGACTTTCGAAACAAATCCAACTGAAACAAGCGAATCTTCAGATCGTTCTTTACCCTGGCCTCCTTTCAACACGAATATACATGGTACTGTAGCTAGTAAAGAAGCTCGAGCTATTCCTGAGCCTCCAGCACGCCTTCATAATCGTTTGAATAATAGTTTTATTATTGAACAGAGTATCACGCCTCCTTCTACCCGTCCAAATAATTTATCAAATCATACAATTTGCTTAGCTGCTGCATTTACAGAGACTTGGCATGCCAGGTTTTTTAACGGTGGTGGCAGTTCTTTTTCAACTGCAGCATCTACTTGTCAACCTCCTATTCAAGCAATTGATGGTAGTTTAACGCTTGCATTTCCGCGTGCAGATATAGAACAAAGACTTTTCAATAAGCTACTCATCGCCCCTCTTGTCTTTAGAATTACAAACGCTGAAAGATTAAGGGATCTCCAACCTAAACTTTCTGGCTCATCAATCAGGTAAATTACATTGTTCCTTTATTCCAGATTATTTAAAAATATTTCAGTTATGTTCATATAAAGCTTAAAATTCTTAGGTAACTGTAATTGATAAAGTATCTAAACTTGTTGATTGATGGATAGGTTATCGTGACAAACTAGTAAGATGTTATGTCTAATGTAACTACTATTTTAATTCAAAATATCACAAAAGAGCTGCTATGTTTCTAGTTTTTCGTTGAATAGATTTACTAAGATAATTTGTGAAATGAAAATATTATTTGAAAATAATTTTCATACCTTGCTACTGGCATCAGCTGGCAAACTATTAATAATCAGAATTTTATGGCTTTTCATTTCCTTTTTGTTGTTGAACTGCTGATTCTCACTACTGAGGATTTCTGAATAAAGATGTAAAAGCGGTTCTTGGCTCTTAGTAATTCTTCAACTGATTTTGTTTTATGATGAAATCTACCTTTAATGTATTATTTATTGAATGTTTCAATAATATGCCTAATAGAGATTTCATTAAGAATTTTATTTCTTAATTTTCGTTTATAGTGATCCATAGTCTAATTTACTGTTAACATATTTCATTACGTGTTTTGTTTAACGATCTTTATATCGACATGCAGTTAATCTCACTCGTAGTTGTAAGCTAAATTAATAAAAAGTCTTAAACAAATTAGTTCTGAATTTGAACTTTATTATCATTGTACGTCTATCTGTAATTCAAGATAACTAAACTACATACTACAAATCATTTGAAAAATTATAGTTTTCATTGAGAATAATGATTACTACTTATCATTATTCAGTTGATTGATGTATACAACCATTTCTTAAGTATCAAATCAAGATTGTTTATGAAAATTTTGATTCAGATACATTGTTTCATTGGTATATTTTATTTATTTTTTTTTGTCAGTGTATTTTCTGAAAGTACAACTCCTACTACTGATACACCTGAATCAAATTTACTTGATAATATAACAGATAAAAAAGCAGCACAAATCAAGAATGATAATAACAATTATAGTTCAGATTATATGCTTACTATTCCTGGCGATGTACTTTCACGTTATCTAGCTCCATCAATAATTTCCTATTCAGATGAAAACTTATTTTCCTATAGTGATGCATCCGATAAGTTAAATACTTCTTTTACATCTTCTAATACACCTACATATGTTAAATTGGATGTATTAACCTATACAGTTGATGTGAATGCCGATGTTCAAGGATGTTATCCTAGTCTTACACCTCCAATACATTTATGCACTTATTGGCGTTGTGAAGCATTTAGCACAGATTTTCGTTTGGATTATACGGCTCAATGGCCAACACTAATTTCTACTAAAGAGTATGTTCTCTTTTTATTTTTTTTTTTGCATGAATGAATGCTATTTTCTAACAGTTTGTCTTATGGGCTATTGATTCCACTAGTTTTACAGTGAACTACTCGTTTTTATTCCTTCAACGTTGAATACTAACCATTCTTTTTTTATTATGAACTCCGGCTAATCCAAAAGTCAAACCTTACTCGTAAGATTTACTGAAAAGACTGAAGAAGGTAAATATGTCTAAAATATCCATAAAAATAAACCAGAGAGTTATTACATTAAAAAAGAGTATGATGAAAATTTCATGGCTACACAAAAAGTAAAAGAAGCCTCTTAAAGGAAATTTGATAGTTAAAATTACAACTTCACATCCTTAAAAAAAAAAGCCTCCAAAGGTATAGACATTGGTCTTGAAGTTAAACGTTTGTATGTAAAATTGAATGTCCTGATTGTCATTTACACATGCGTGGTTGTGTACAGGCACTGATGAGAATTTTCATACCTTGACCAACCATCCATCCAGTGCTTCCTGGTTTTCAATGATGGTCTAGCTGATATTAGATTGTGATTTAAAAACTGTGGAAACTGTTACTATTCTTTCTAGGTTGTTAACAGTTCAGTCAGCCAGTCAGAAGGTTGTTAACAGTTGATAAGAAATGATAAAATCAATAATAAATTCATGTTATTCCGTTACAATGATTGACGTTCCATTTCAGTTCTACTGAAAAAAAACATTTTTGCATAACTGTAAACTGGAATAATAATAATAATAACGGTAGCATATAACTTTTGAGTTTATTTTCTAATCTTAAAGCCAAATTTTCATTATTTGGAGTTGATTCATATGAATCGAGAATTTAGTCAATTTTATTTGTCAAAGACTTAAATATTTTCTAACTATTATTAATTGATAGTTCTATTTATCTAATATCGCAACTAAAAAAATCATAAGGATTTCAAACTTTAGACATATCCAGTTCAATTAGATAAAACTGTGTCCTTTATGGTTTCTAGTTGACTGTATTAAGTCATTTCATTGTCTCGTATATCCTGACCACGATGCATCAATAAAGCCTTTCAAGATAGAATTATTACTGAAAGAAAACAATACCTGTTCAAAAAACTTGAGTGTTGAAGATGCATTAGTAAGAAGATTGCAGTTTATATCGAGTTTTTTAATGATTTTTACAGCATTTTCTCAATTCGATCATTAGCGCTGATTGATTGAAAATGAACTCATCAGCATGTTCCCATCAGAGCTTAATTCACTCATTCGATTGTCAGAATTCTATTCTATTAGTAAAAAATGGATGTTCAGTTGGTAAAAAAAATCTAAGAAAGTGCTTCCTTGTAGAATGTTTTGGTTGAATACCCACACACATTACTTATTTTCAGTAATTGGATTATCTTTTTTCTCATAATTTCAATGTAAATCGGGTTGTGTATTATGCTACAATTTAATGAATCAAGTATATACATTGTTTTAATGAGGATGAGTATTTTTTCTAGAAGAATACACTGATTCAATATAAAATGTCAGATACTGACTCTGATGCTATCGCCTGAAACATTAAGTGTGTACTTCTGTATTGCATTTATATTCACTACTATCATCAATCATATTCTGTTTACAGATTTTCCACCAATTATAAATATTTTGCTGACCAGTAATGATCATAATATTTCCTTTATTAGGTCTGTGAAAAATACTGGAGATTTGCGTATAAATCTCATGGTTGATGGAACTGTCAGTCATATGCAAAGTCTCCCAGTTGGTACTTGGCTCCCGGAAGTTAATCATGCTACATGGCGTATTCCACTTCACAATGGTAACATTGATCGTGATACATCAAGAGATATCAATAATAATTCATATCGATCCGAATTCACTTCGAAATTCGATGCAACTGGTACTGTTCGAGCGAAATTCACACTAACCAATGGTCCAGGCAAACCACAACCTGTTAGTTTACAATTCTTTCATGATGGCTCCTTAGCTAGTGGTGTACAATTAATTGTTCTTTCAACCGATTATCGTATGAATCTATGTAAATATCGTTTGATTGGTGATCGGTATATATGTGATCCACCAACGAATGTGAATCGTTTTCATTCAAATGCAACGCATCAATTAGAACAAAATAATAATACAAAAGGAAAATTGAACTCTTTAATTATTGCTGACAATAAAAAATAAAATAAATCTAATTTATTTATCTGTAGTCATTGACATATTAGAATTAAGTCATTTACAATAAGAGTAATTTTTTTGATTTATTGTGCCTTTAATTTGCGATAAAACAAATCATTTAGCCTTGTTAACCATGGATTAAATTATGCATAATCTCTTTTGAAAAAAAATAAATCAAATTATATTTTAATCTAAATCAACTTGTTAATCAACTAATTCTCTTGTTATTATTATTATTATTGTTATTACTGTTATCATTTTACATTAATTAATTAATATTGAAAATACTCTTCATTTACTGTGCTTCTCATCTTTAAAGTATTTATTCATTTTACACCTGATTAACTAACTTATATACCATCTTCTCTTTTGTGTCCGTCCTTGTTTGAATTTTCACTTATTTACTCGAAATAATAATGATTATATCGAGAAAAATTTTTTAAACCAAAAACATGTAAATTAACGATAACTTCTTATTGAGTTTTACAAATACAAAATAGAAACTATTCATTCTAAATAAATATTTAAACTAATACGTGTGTGTGTGTTGTTGTTATTTTGTCAGCCGTTATATTATGAGCACTTGTGTATGTTCACATTACTAAATGAATATTTTATTGTGTTATAAACACATACAAACTCACACGTACATGAAAGATTATGCTAGATTGTTTTATTACTAGATTTTATCCTCTATAATTCATGTATGTACACGTATAATAATTAGCCAACTAATCATAACTGTTCATATCTTCTACCAAATATTTTTTTTTGTAAACTGTCAAACAATAAGAAATCACAAAAAATTTTCCTTATTTACTCAAATTATTTTCTCAATTTACAACGACGTAAATTACCTAGCATTATTCATTTCATTGATAAAAAAAAAGAAAATGAACTAGCTGTTAATCATTTGTGTATACTGCTCACTTACTAATCTATATTGATTATTCCATTGTATATTGAATCCCTTTAATAATGTTCTCATTTCAATCTTCACTATGATTAATCTTGTTCGTTAGATTCATTGTCTTTCTCAAAGAGACAGTTATAAATCGATACTATTTTTCCTTCTGCTTATATCATTTCCTGTTCTAAATATCTTCTACTGTATTTGTCAAAGTGATACCCACTACTAACTTGATTCCTTTCAATGTTGCTCACCGATGCATACTGATAATCAATGAAATCCATCTGGCTGCTTATTTCTTTAATACTACCATACAGAAAATAGTACTTTGTTTTGTACCTCTTCTATATGCCTGTTTTTATCACCTACTACTGTCCATCAAATAAAATGTAAATCTAATATTGATTTCTGATTCATTGAAATTACTATTCATCATTAGTTTGTACTGAGAAGACACCAAATAGTCAGTAATCAAGATTAATTCATTCTTTTTTTTCCATATTTCATGTTTATTTTTGACTGTTTCTGCCTTAAATTCTACATTTAACTAGGTAATGTCCTTGTTGAATTCGTTTGTGGAACAGTTTTTTTTTTGCTTATTTTTAAATATTTTGCTTCAAATAATTCTTAGTTGTGATGTCAATTCCAGCAGTCAGATTTTAATGAT